TGCTGTCACTTCACACTGGGCTCCGCATTTATATCACATTTGATATATTTGACAAACTCTCTTATCCCTGGGGAAAAAAGAAAGAAAAGTTTCCTTTTTCCACTAACAACAGGTTCAGTTTTCTTTTTCAGCCAAATGTAACTGCAAGAATTCATGGTTTTATTTTTATGTTGTTGTTTTTGGAGAAAATGGGAACATGAACTGACCAAAAATAGAAATGCTGCATACTTTTTAGCTTCCCATGCCCAGGATGAACAAAATACACCAGGCAAACAAAAAGAATTTACAGTGTTAAGGGTAAATATCCTTCCCATCTTTGTTTTCAAGACCTATTAGAAACAGAGGTAAGGAAATATTTTTTTTTAAAAAATACGATTTTTGAAATGACCACAATGTTCCTTTTAAACTGCACTGAAATACAAGATAAAGACAGGGTATTGAGTGAAAGAGTGCTGATGGCGCTTTTATTGTGTGATTTGCCTTGTTTTTTTCTGAAGTACTTCTTTTTAGCCGATTACCATGTATTTACAGTTAGTGTAATTATATCTAATTACTTAATTAGCATGAATACGTGTAATTACTAACTTTGAATATGTAATTATGTCAGGGCAGCCTGTAATAAATGAGGTTGAAAAAAAACCCTTATTAGGACTCTACGGAAGGACAGCTGCTCCACCCATGTGGAGAATGCATCCCAGTCCCCAGGCTGCGCCAGTCCTGGAAGAGGAAAACAGCCAGTTCTGGTCGTGTTTGGCAACAACCTCCACCAAAATCAAAGTATTTGCCCCAAAAGTCTAGCTTCACAGTGCTGGTGGGAACCAAGCACCCACTGATGGAAGACAGACAGGGATCTGCAAAGGATCTGACCCCCAGACTGATTTTCTCCATTAAGGTTTGGATTTTTTTCTGGTTTGTGTTGTTCTCGAGAGGACATCTTTGGTCAGACAAGAAATATGAGAGAATAGAATAACTGTAAAACTGTGCTGTGGCACTTGACTAAAGATTGAGAGATCCGATCCAAGAACTAATCTGCATCTGATGCATCATGTTAATAATTAATTACTACTATTATAGTAAAACAATCTTCTAAAATGTTTCTTCTGAAACATTACTAGTCTTTCACCACAAAAATCACCAGCTACTTATAATTATCCATTCTGCAAATTCGAATCCTAACATCAGAAGATAGAGCTAAGGTTAAAAGTTGTTGTTACCACCACTAATCATATGTATGAAAATTATATCCTACCAACAGCCTCATGAACCTATTTCAAGCTGATACTCCCTTTTTTCCCACTGATCAGGAGCTATCCATTGTAATGAGCTGACTTTTCCTGCCCAGAAGGACTGATAGCCATTTTCAGGACACAAATGAGGGTAGACTGGATCATGTTTTGCATTACCAAAACCCCTGACCATAGAATGGAGCCACGTGGTCCTACACTATATCTCATCACATATTCTGTCCACAGTGCTAGCTCCACAACAAGTCCCATTCTTCTCCTCTTATCTGTTTCCAAATAAAGAGAGGTGCAAACTCATCACAACCTGCCACTCCTCCTGCTGGCATCTGCCAAGCAGATATGCCACTTGGTTTCTCTTCTATGTGCAAAAGATCAGGAGAAAAAAAAATTATTTCAGCTTGCTCTTCTGAAATTAATTTGTGGTTGGACGGTCCCCATTGTCAAGCTTTTTGCTTAACCCTCCAGGCAGGGCTGAGGATGGTTGAAACAAGGACTGGTTGCAAACCCTATGCTGCCCAGCACACCATGGAGTTACAGCATAAAAATGGGGGAGCACCTTCTCAAAGACTCAATGCTTCACCACAAGCAAACAGGGTGATGTAGTAGTTTCTTCCGTGGCTCTTTGAGAAGCCATCAGCCAGGATGGGAAAGAGGACCCTGAGCCAAGCTTGTCACTCCCGCTCCTCTAAAATCAGGCTGTAGCAGAAAGGGGGTAAGCGACAAGTGCAAAAATCCCAGAAAGTCAGAGGTGAGAGCTGGCTTCTGTGCCCTTCATCCCATCGATGCGAGGACAGCACATCCCCAGGGAGGAACACATGTCTCTCTCCTTGAGGACACATTAACGAGAAGAGCCCACAGGACATCATTGCACAGCAGGAGTGAGGGGCTGCAGCTCCGCAAGCAGGGAGCTCCTCTCCATATTTCAGCTGCAATTCCATTATGCAGAGCTAAGTGGCTGGGAATAAACATCCGTCATCCCTGTGTGATAAGCGATGTTTGCTAGTATAGAGGGTGACAGAAATCTATATCACATCAATGTACTATTAATACTGCATTAAGCATATAGAGTTCGCTCTCCTCATTGCAGCGCGGTAATAGGTATCGTCATGTCCTCAACCCAGATGACATCCAAGAGCACAGAGACGCTTGCAGGAGGAAGGAAGGAGAAAAGCTTCACAAGGGAGAGAGAAATTGCTTGCTGAAGACGTTGCTCTAGCAACACCTCAGTGCAAAGGAGAGATACTGGGTGCCATAGAGCACCTTTGCTCACAGCTGGACAGCAGCTCTGTGGGAGGTGCGTAGCAGGAGAGAGATGACACCTTGCATCAGTACAGGCTCAGCGGCGCATCGAGGCCCTCCCCAGCCCAGAGGAGTTCTCCTCTCTCCAAGTGATAGTAAATGAAAAAGTGTTTGTGTCCAAGCTCTGCACAGGGTGAAAGAAAAACCCTCTGGCATGAAAACCACAGAGAGAACAGGAGCAACAAATGTTCTCCAGCTCAGGTTTAAGTTGAGCAGAGCACATCAGATCAAACAAACCCCTTACAGTGAAAGCTCCCCAAAGCATGGTTAATTTAAAAGGTGAATCATGAAACTTTTCAGCCTCAAGCAAAGCCACCAGTGAAGTCAGAAGTTTTGCCCAAGTAAAGTCCTGGGGACTAAAATACAATACACACACCAAATCCAGCCCTGCCTGAAGTCTCGAAGTCTGGGTTTTGCCTTGTGAATGACAAGCAAATCTAAAAAATATAAGGGTTTTCAGCCTGCTAGCGTCCAGTTGTGGTTTGCCTCTTGCTGGCACCCAAAGGGAGTGCCTGTGTGTGGGGTTTGGTATTGGCCCTGCTGCCTTGCAGCCCCGGGAAACCTGGAAATTGGAGGCGGCAATTTGCCGTGGATTTCCAAGTGTGCACGGTTGTCACTAGTGCTGCATTTCACCCCCGTGGCACCTTCCACGGAAAAAGCAGCTCCAGATGCCGCCCCCAAGCCCCTCTGTGAACTCCTCAGAGTCTAATCAAATAGCCCCGGTGAAACTTGGAGGCCAAATCCTGCTGCAAGCGACTACCTCTGCAACCCACCCAGCTCTGACAAGCCCCCCCAGGGCAAACGCTCAGAGCACAACGTAATCCTTTGAGGTTTAAGCTCTGCTGCTGCACAGCTGCAACAGCACCCGCATCTTGCAATGGTTGGCGGATAGATTAGAGAGAATCAAGAGAGCACAGGAGGGGAAGGAAAAAACCAAAGCGGGGGAGCCCCCCTCCCAAGCCATCAGAGTTTGTAAATCATTTTGAGATGAGGTGCTATAAGAACTGTAAAATATATAATTAACGGCACACAAAAACCACGCTACATTCAGTTTCTCTGCTTCTGCCAAATCACCACCCTCCTCCTCCCCTCTCTACAAACAGACCAAATTTAGCACATTAAAATGAAAATCAAAGGGAAAGCCGGGCGATCTCATTGGGTACACCCCATCGCTCCAGCAAGCAAAGCACGGTGATAACGGCTCAGGCACTGGCTGGCAGTACCCAGGAGGGTGCACAGCAGGAACTGCCCCAGGGACACCTCCACGGGAGCAGAGGCTGCAGCTCCCTGTGCCCTGATGGGAGGAGTGGTGGCTGGGGAGCAGCACACTTCTGCTGAGCACTCAATGCTGAATGAGTTTCCGCAGGCTGGGAGATCTGCCTCCTCCCTGTTTCCAGGGGCTGAGTTATGTCTCCTGCACTCATGAGTCAGCAGCAGCCAAGAGGAGAACAGAGGCGACTTCAATGCAGCACTCCCTGCTCCTGGCTGGGCCACAGAGATAGAACACGTTGGGAGTTTTTCCCCTTTTTTTCCACAAGCTTTCATTTTTCCAGTTCTACCTGGAACCAAGACACACCAAAAGGCTGAGCAAATAGCAGGAGAGGAACATTATCTGAACCTCCTGCATCGCTCAGCTTGCATTTCAGAGCTGGCAAGAGGCCTGGGAGAACTCAACTACCGGCTGCAAGCCACGTGTCGGGGAGGGCTGCATCTCATGGCTCGCAGGGGAAGCAGTGTGGGATTCCCAGAAAGGCATCCTTTTACCCAGCACTTTTCATTTGTGCTCCAAATTTAGGAACACAAAATGGAGAGGACCACTTGATCACCACCTGCTAGTCTAATGAGCTCAGTTCACGACCCAGATTTATATGGACAAGATGCAAAAGCTTTACAGAAGCCCATGAAAACAAGACATCCAGCATCTAAGCCTCCTGTTCTTTATCTCCACGCATCTGCCCCATCTATGGCCACACGTCCTAAGCTTCTCCCTGGCCCGGCAGAGAGCCAAGGAAGCAGCCCTTGGCTGGGAAACTGCTGGAGGAGGAAGGGAAGGCAGGTCCTTTCCCCAGCCAGGTGGGGGTCACGTCCATCCCCGTGCTCCCAGGTGGCTCTTGCTCATGCCTGGTACCTCACGCTTGGAGCCAACAAGGCAGAGCCCGGCTTCATACGGCACTTTTAGGCAAGCGGGGAAGGTGACTGGTGGGTGACAGAGGGACGGTGAAGGGAGGTGAAGGTGAGGGTGGAAAGTCTTCTCTGGAAGCACCTACATGTATGTTGTGATTTCTGAGACCTGAGATTCACTTTGGTTTCTGGACCATACCAAGACCCACTCTACTCAAAAACTTCCTTCTTTTCTTCCTCATCCTCTTAACCTCTTCCTTCTTGCCCTCCTTCCCCCATTCCCCCCATCCCATTCCCTGGTCCTCGCAGGGGACTCCGGCTGCATCGGGCACTCACACGTGTCTGGCTTGTGGCAGTTGTGACCTTGTCGGAAGTACTGGGGGTTCTCGATGACGGGAATGCGGGTCATGCCAATCACCACTGTGTCCGGGCCAGCGTCCAGGGATGAGGGTGTCGTGATGCCGTGGTTGATGTGGTGGAGGGGACTGGCTGAATCCTCCTCTCCGCTGATCACTGCCACAGGACCTGCAAACACCACACACATCTGTCAGGCACAACAGGGGAAAGAGGACCCGTGAGCCTGGCTGACCGCACAGGTACAGATCAGTGCAGGTTGGCAACGGACAACCACCAGCCCTGGGACAGGATGCCTGTCCTAGCACCCCGGCCATTTGGCCCATCCCTAGGCAGCTCACAGGGCAGGGAAGACACTTCAAGTTTTCTTTCCTGGTTTTGGGGTACCAGGTTGACAATCCTCAGGGGTTAAAGTAGCTGCAGGTGACACCACAGTACAGGTGACTGCTGCACAAGGTCCTCTCCTAGTACTGTCACAAGATAGATCAGTCACTGTGGTGCCTGTATATACGGGCATCACGAGCTTGGCAGAATACACAACTGAGCTTAGACTGGAGAAACTTTACCCTCACAGAAGATCTATTTCACCCCAAACCCATATTCACACCATTTCTCTTGCCCAATGTGTTGCCCCCCTTGTCTCCCCTCCAGTTTCATTCAGGCACACACATGGAGACCTTCAGTCAGACTGACACCTGCAGGGACCCACGAAGTATTGGATCAGATCCCACTTAGTTCACACTGCATCTCACCGCTACCACAAATGGCAACATGTCCCCCTTATCCTCCTGACCCTGAAAAGCTCACAACGCCATCAGACAGACAAGGAAAGAGGGCAAAGTGGCCACACCCCCAGGGTGGAGGTAATGGGAGTTTCCCATCCCTCCACAGCCTTTCTGGCATTCGTTATTTGCTCTTACTGGAGCAAGGATAGAGAGGAAGTTTCCCATGAGAGGAGCCCTGTGCCATGCTGGCACCCCTTGGAGGCCACAGATGCCCAAGGATAGCAGAGAGGAGAGACCCCAGCAAAATGTGGAGAAGTCAGCATCACAATCTTTGGGCTGAGCTGCAGCAAACCCAGAACATTCTCTCTTCCTTGTCTCCTGTAATTAATATGCCAACATCTCAAGTATTTTTTAACTCCCAATTCCCCATCTTCTCCTTGCTCACAGGACCTGTAGGTCTGCCAGGCTGAGGGACCTGGTGGAGAGCTCAAGGTAGTCCCACTCCACTGACCACCATGCAAAGTCATGGAGTTGCTGCTCCATGAGCACAGAATCCATGAGCACCCACCTCCTTGGTCCATGCACACACGAGACCTTCCTACTTCCCAAGCATCTCAGCACCCACCAGCACCCAGCCAAACACTGCCCTCCTGGGCCAGTCCATGTGCCTCCCCCAAGTCCCACAACACCCACTTACGCAATCCTTGTCTACCTCCAGGGAGCAGGTCTCCAAAACACCAGCATGCCCAAACACACCCACGCTTATCTCCCTCCTGCAGATGGCCAGCCAGCAGCCGTGCTCCAGCTCCTTCAGCCTCCAGCCCCAGCCATGACTCCTTACGCTGAAGTGCCTGTGCCTAAGAATATCACTGCTCTAATCTCGCCCTAACCAATGCCAGGTTTGTTCCTACAGGTAAAATAAAGTGATGAAGGAAAGAACATCCATACCTGAGAGCCAAGGCCTGCTTCCCACACAAAGCTATTTCATAGTATTCAGCTCTACTCCAAATTTTGGATCATGCTTTATTTTAGTTTTAGACCTTCTAACTTCAGCCTTTGCTATCAGCTGTCAAAGCTGGAAACCTCAGGGGACATCAGGCCTCAGTACATTATTCTCCACTTCTATCTATTGTCACCCATCCTGGGGTCCAGCCTGCCAGCCAACATCACAAATGCTTCCATCACGAAGTGGAAACTTTTAACCCATGCTGCAGCCATTCATGTTGTGTAAACACAGGATCCTGAGGAGTTAGGCAATGTGGGGACCGCACTGCAGCCTTCCATGAGGACCTCCCTTATATACTCACATCGGAAGAAAAACCACACTCAACTAGAGGCGCTCCTCTTCTCCTGTCTGGATGCTACCAGGGGCTACCACAAGCTCAAGCAAAAATGAGTAGAGATGCTGCATTGAGGCTTCAAACCTATTCAGAGAAGACTTTTACCCACATCGCATAGAAAACGCTTCTCTCCCATCAGTAATCTACTTCTAATTACACAATTACTGTATTATGTAGCACTAGCAACAAAGAGGGGAGTCTTCGAGCCATTTTACTCTCCGGAGCTTCTGGGAGGACAGGGCGAACACTGGCTCCATGCAGTCATTCTGCCTGCATTAATCTAGTCTAAAGGCTTCTCATTTTTGGAGCTTCAAGTATTGTTTGTTCTTCCAAGTGGGATATAATAAAGTTATTGTGTAATTAGCAGAGTCCTGGCAGCCGTGACAGGTGTTTTAGTCACAAGGAAAAGAAGTCTCTCCCTTTATTGTGAATTCCTTCTGGCAGGTTCTGGCTCTTTTTTACGTTACTCCCCGGGCCCACATGACTTCCAGCTTTTGAGACGCCAAGGCAAAATTCAGCTCTTGCCGCAAGATGCCTCTGTTGGGACTACACACGCTGTATTTCTCCAAACACAAAAAGTAAACAGGCAATTTGGATTTGAATGACTTTTATTCTTTTGCAATGTCAATTCTTCGCATGCAAACAAGGACGACTGGGTTTAGCATGGTGCACACGTTCCTTCGGCTGTACCCTGCACTGCTGGCCAGCCCAGCTGCGGTGGGAAGGGGAGACCTCTGCATTTCAAGGTGCAGTTCACGAAACGAGTGATAAAAATATCAGCTAGTATAGACTGGTGTAAATAATTTGAGGAGAGACCTTAAAGATCTGTCTTGCAGTGGAGCAGTGGGAGAGGCTATTGAGGGCTTATTGCTTTCCCTAAGCAGCTAAGATGTTGCTTCAAAGGAAGGTACCTAATCAGGCAGTGGGATGCAAAAGGCCTCTCTAGTGAATGATATGAAGGAAGTCTTCATTGTCCTCTGCTTTGAGAGCAGAAATCACACCTTTGTGACAAGGAGCAAAGAGGACATCTCCTATAGCATTAATACTGGAGGAAGAGGGTTGGTTTCATAACCAGCCATGGGACATATGCCAGGCTGGCCCAGACCCTGCTGGGGACATAGCTCTTGGGGGCTCACAAAGCCCTGCCAGCACTTAACCCTTGCAGTCCTTCCTTGCACAGCACCTCCTCATGTTTAAGGAACACAGATCATTGCAGTGTTCCTCTGGCACAAGCAGGTTAGAAGGATGTGGTTACATCTAAAAAGGGTAGGGCATGATGGAGGAGGTCAGGTACTTGTGAAACTAAGCACAGCCAGCATCTATTACCCAATGTTTTGATGGCGATTTCCTTGCCAATAAACAGATCCAGAGTCTGACCTTCTTAACACTCCACAGCTTTTTTTCTGCAGCTCACTTCTTAGGAGGACTTTCTACATGTGTTATTCCTAGTTTCATGCCCCAAGTCTATGGGGTAAGGGGTAACCATATCTCAGCTAATCCACAGTGGCACTCCTATTCCCCAGCAAACACTGCGTCCTGTGAATGGACTCAGCCTCTCAGTCACCCAGCTCAAGTCAATGCAGCCAAGCTTAGACATTTACAAAATCTACCAACCCTCAAAAGCCTCAGAGTCGAACTCTGATGCTCCATGACTATCTCAACCCCTTCTCATTTCTGCAAAAGTAGAAAACCCCAAGAACTGACAAAGCAGTTACAGTCCTGACACCATAAGGATAGTACACCACACAAAGTATATTCTACCCTTGCCATAATTCGGGGACAGCTTACTGCCTCTGACTGCATTTCCAGGTCTTGAAAAAAATCCAAAATAAAGCACATTCTCAAGAGTCCTAAGGAACACACCCGATGGACACAGTGCACTAGCTTTCAAGCTTTCAGAAAGGTTTCTGATCAGTAGGCATTGAGCTGGCATGGACTATAACATACCATTCAGCTGATTCATCCCAATATCCTCCACAGGATATAATTGGATTAAAGACATAATTTACAGTTCAGGACTTCTCCAAGTTTCTCCTATTAACTTTTGGGGCAGGGGGGAGGTGTAGAAATCTGGACAACATTAACTCCTACAACACAGTCATGGTGCTCTCACTTTCATTCATTCGTTCCCACATTTTCCATGGGGGCCCAGCTGAGACCAAGCTCCATCTAAGCATATGGCCGTTCTGTTGCCCCTCTGAGACTCAGACAACTGCTGGACTCATTGCACAAGTCTGAGACGAACTTTAAATCATCATTGATATCAAGCAGTAACCGATCACTTTTATAGATTTGACTATTGTTCTGACAGTCAAAACATATACTGCCATCAGTAACTCCTGGAAATAAAGCAGCTATCCAGACTTCAACTTTTAAAATCTGTCTTGGCAATAGCATATATGTTTTGCTGTTAAGTCGGTAAAGACGCTGAGTTTCTGATGTATAATGCTGATGAACGGCTTTATTTGGAAAAATTCTCACCCGCTTTAGCAGTGTGTTTTCCAGGTAAGGTTAAAGGAAAACATGGAGTAAAAAGAGAGTACAGATTTTAAGATTTAGGTTTACCTTCCACTTGACAGAGAAATTAGCGGAGGAACATAGAAAAGAAGGCAGTTTTGTACTGTAAAATGCAGAATAATAGTCAAGGGTAGCCTGGGGTAACTCCTGATATACCATCCTCTGACCACGGAATCATAGAATGGTTTGGGTTGGAAGTAACTGCTGATATACCATCCTACGACCACGGAATCATAGAATGGTTTGGGTTGGAAAGGACCTTAAAGATCATGTAGTTCCAACCCCCCTGCCATGGGCAGGGACACCTTCCACTAGACCAGGCTGCACAAAGCTCCATCCAACCTGGCCTTGAACCCTCCCAGAGATGGGGCATCCACAGCTTCTCTAGGCAACCTGTTCCAGTGTCTCACCACCCTCACAGTAAAGAACTTCTTCCTAATATCTAATCTAAATCTCTCCTTTTTCAGTTTGAAACCATTACCCCTCGTTATATCACTACACTCCCTGATAAAGACTCCCTCCCCGTTCTTCCTGTAGGGTCTTAAAACACAATATAAAATATTTTTGAGCTCCTCTGAAACTTAAAATC